CTTCTATCATTTATATTTCTTGGTTGATGTAAATTTCTTCTTCTTTGGTTATTTTTTTTTGATTTTTTTTGAAGACTTTCGTATTGCATCTTTTTTTTAAAGAAAGTAACAATAATTTGTAAATATTATATTATTTTCTTTAAAGAAAGAAGAAGGAACTTTGAAAAGAGAAAGAATGACAGATAAGGAAAAAGACATAAAGAAAGCAAAAACAAAATTTCTACATGACAATGCGAAAATTAGTGATAGACTTAATTCCTTTGATACCCTTTGCCGATTATTAAGTACGAAAGAATTAGAACAATGGATAAGTCAGTACCAAGAAAATTTTAATAGATTTTGTGAAGAAGTAAATAGGATGTTAGAAGGAATGTTAAAAAGTTCTAAGATGATTGAAGATGCGGTTGTGAATAAAATTCTTGGTGTTATTAATTGGGGATTAATTTTAAATGAAAAAACGAAAATATCAGATAAGAAAAATTATCAACAATTTATTAAAGATTGTTTATGTATTGAAACAGAAAAAAGTATTAGAGAAGAGACTTTTAAAATCGTATTAAATTGGATTAAGTTAAAAGGATCAATTAATCAAGAGGAGGTTAAAATACTTATTGGATCATTAAATATTAGTAGCTTTATGGAAACTACAATAACTCTTAGTGCATCTAAACCATTAGCAATTGGAATATCATCAAGTTTTACTCCATTAAATAATGGACCTATATTACCAACCGGTCCAACATTAATGTATGAAACACAACATTTTATTATTTCTAATAATTCAATGACAAATAAAACCATAGAGTCATTAACTTTTATAAATTATGTAATGAAAGCAGTAATAAATGAAAAAGGAAAACGAGGAAAAGGACTAATATCATTATTTATAGCTTTAATGAAATTACTTTATTCAAATCAAAATACAGAATTCAAAGAATTTCAAACAGAAAATGAATTAAAAGGATATAGTGGAATGCAAAAAATTTCGGAAAAAATTCATTCAATTGTTATCAATTCATTAAAAGAAATTAATGAAGAAGAAGTAATTGAATTACTAAATGAAATACCAGGATTTATTGAGTTATTAAAAGTAATTTATTCTATTTCAATGAGAGAAAAAATAACAACAGTTAAAGATAGTATTGAGTGGTATTTTAAGGTGTTTATATGTCAAACAAAAATAGAGGGAATTATTAATTCAATTGAATATAATGATTTTAGAAAATTTATAATTGAAGGGATAAAAACGAGAATTGATATCATTCAAAATAATGAAGAAGAATTAATGCTTATAAATTGTATAAATAATATAGTATTAAACATTTATTCTTCAAATATAAATGCAATGATTCAAAAAACATTGGTTGATACAATTAAATTATTTACTATTGGTAAATTAGAACGTTTACAAAATTGTTCAATTGATAAAAAACAAAGTACAAGAAAAATGGTTCAAATTTTATTATATTGTTGGTTATGCTATAATAGTAAAAATGAAAAAGAATGGAAAATATTACAAAGTATGATTAAAGAATATTATAATATTCCTGGAGTAGTTGATGGTATTTCTGATATTATTGGACATATTTTATTCTTTCTTTTATTAGTTTATTATAAATTTGAACCTAATCAACTTGTTATTTCTGACCAAGCAATAATATCACCTGTAGTTGAAATTCCTACAAAACAACCAATAGATAAACATACATCAATACCAATACAATATGAATATCTTTATTCAAATCTGGAAGTACCAAAATCTATTCCATTTCTTTATAGTTTAACTAATAAATGGAACCAAATGGATTTTATTTATTTTTATCAATTAATGATTAAATTTTTCACTCAAATACATGTAAATGAACTTTCACTTAGTGTAATAAGAAATATTCATATTATTATAATTAGTTCGTTACTTATTTTAATTCAATATGAAAATATTTCTCAATATAATTCTTCATCAAATGAACTTAATTTAAAAATGATTTATACTGACTATTTATTGTCTTCTTTAAAGAGTAATGATTCTTTAATTATTAATTTAACTATTAGAGCATTTTATCAATTATATTCTAAAGGAAAAATTATTTCTAAGATTGGATATAATATTATTGATTATTCATTAGAGTCTTTAAACCAAACACAACTATTTAATGCTTTAGAAAATCTTACAGAAGTATTTTCTTCATTGAACCCATCAAGTTTTATATTAATTCCAACAATCCTTAAATCAATTCAAAAATTAGAAAAATTACCCAATGTTGCTATTCTTCCTGAATATGATAATACTTTTATTCCATATGATAAAAGAATAGAATATCCTTCATTAAATTGTGGGTTAAAAGTTATTACTTTATTACATTCTATTCAGTCTCTAAAGGATTTTGGTGAAACTGCTTTAGAAATAAAACAAAAAAAGGAAATTCAAACAGAAATTAATTTCTCTAAACCAGCACATAAAATTTATATTGAGTTAGTGAAATGTTATAAACATTTGATTAACATTTTATTATCAACGTTTTGTCATACATCAATAGTTTGGGGAATTACAAAATGTATTATAGAAATTGGTGAATATATTAAAATAAATTCTGATGAAAATGATGGAGAATTAACTACTTCTATGTTAGAAGAATTAATTGATCTTATTGTTGGTGATTTCCAAGACTTAGAAAGTAGTAAAGTTAAAAACATAGAAATGTGTATTAATTATTTGGCTAAAATGAATGAAAAATTACCTGATGAAACTATTGAATATATTATAGATACATTATGTAAATTAACATATACAACAAAGGAAAAAAGTCAACGAGGAAGTATTGTTAATGGAATAGGAAGTTTTTGGTTAAATTGTCGAAATCTTATTGAAAGAATTAGTGAAACCACTGTTAAAGAATGTTTTATTATATTCCAAAAGAGTAATAACAATAATGAAAAAAAGGTTAGTGATGGTAGTGATGATAAGATAGATGATGTTTTTGAAGGGAAGGTAATTATTGAGAATCTTATGCATTCAGTACGTGAATTTGAGAGTGGAGAAGATTATATTAAAGATGAAGAAAATGGAATTAATTTTGTAATGAATGACCGAATTTATTGTGTTTATTATAATGAAAATAAAGAAGAAGTAAATATCATTATTAGGGATCTTGTTGGAAAATGGGGATGGAGATTAAAAGAAATAAGTAATCAAAATGATATTAAAGAATGGAAAGAAATAGAAAAAGAAAAGAAAGAAAACAAAATTGAACTTATTTCACCTCGTCAATGCTTAATTAAAAGTAAAGAAGAAATTGTAAAAAATAAACTTGATGAGTTAGTTGAAGAAATAGAACAAGAAAATAAAGAGTTATTTGAAGTTGAAAACAAAGAAGGATTTAATAACAATACAATTATGAAAGAAATAGAAGATATGAAAGAAGAATTTGAAATAATGAAAAAGAATATCCTTTTAAATACTAAAGATGAAATTAAAAAGGAAAGAAGAAAAGAAATAATACAAAATCAAATAATTAAAAAAGATGATACAAAAAATAAAAGAATTACTGAAATTATTAAGACTATTATTTGGTTAACTAACTGTAAGCCAAATGAAAAAGTCCCATTAAAAATACTTAGTAATAAAGAAGAAACATATAAATTATGGAAAAATAAATTAGATCAAGCAAGACCCAAAGAAACACATAAATTAGGAATTGTTTATGTTGGTATTGGACAATTTAAAGAAGAAGAAGTTCTTGGAAATACTAAAGGTTCAGAAGGATATAATGAATTTATTAAACAATTAGGTGAAGAAATTAATCTTAAAGGATGGAACAAATATTGTGGAAAATTAGATACTAAATTTGAAAGTGATGGAGATAAAGCATTGTATTATTGTGATGAAAGAGTTGAAATTATTTATCATGAAGTAGTTAAAATACCAATTAAGAAGGGAGAATTAATTTATCAACAAAAGAAAAGACATGTAGGAAATGATCGAGTTCATATTATTTATTGTGAGTCTAAATATTATAACCCATTAACAATTACAAGTCAATTTAATAATGCTCATATTATAATTTATCCAATTAATAATATGTATAGAATTCAAGTTTATTATAAAGCAGGTGGAAGTTGGGGACCATTACAAAATGAAATGATTGTCTCTAATGACCAAATTGGAACACTTGTTAGAGAAACAGCAATTTATTTAGACAAAGCTTCATTAAGTAGATTTACTACAGATAAATTAATGAATCAATATATCTCTCGTCAATCCATTATTGAAAGAATTTCTAAATTAGCAGAACCCAATGAAATTGATTTATTACATCTTGTTAACAGAATTAAAGAAATATCATCATCACTTTAAATCTCATTCATTTCAACTTTTTAATTTCAATACTTTTTATATAACTAATATTTTAAATGTAAAATGAAATTAAATAAATAAATTATTTCTTTCCCCAATAATTTGGCATATATTTTCCATACTTTTCATAATACCATTTGAAATGTTCTCTAATTTCATCATCAGAAATTAAAAATTCATCATCTTTTTTCTCTTTTCTTCCATGACCTTTTTGAGGATCACCTTCTTCTTTTGTTTTAATCATTGTCTGTTTAATTTCTTCAGTTAAATCTAATCCAAATTGGTTATAAATTCTTTGAGAAACCTTAATTGGATCATTAATCATTTCTCTAAAACCAATATCACAAATTTGTTTGGCTCTTTCAGGCTTTTCTGCAACCCATTTTTCTCTCATTTCAAGTGAATTCTTTAAACAAAGAGTGTTCATTTTAATAATATTTTCTTGTAACCATTTATAATCAGTTTCTCCAATATCTCCTTGATACCTAGCACGTGCATTTAATAACAAATAAAATGCCGACTTAAATTCATCAACTGGTTCTCTATGGATCCAAACAATTCTTGGTTCAATTTCATCACTACACATTATATTGAAAAATGGAATTGGAGTCATAAAATGACATACACATTTCATTAAGAAGTATTGGTCTTCTTTTAATGGTTCTTCAATAGCAGACATTTTCATTTCATCTAAAATACCATGATATACAGAAGAAAAGTCTCTTTCAAAACAAGACTTTCGATATTGTTCCCATCTTGGCATAGCAGTTCCGAAAATATAAGTACATGCAAGAATTTCCATAAAGAATAATTCTTCTTCTGGAACTAACATATTATCCATATTATGGCATTTATTCATATCTTTACCATCATTAGTAATTTGTCCAATAATCATTTCAGCAATATTTAAACGAGCTTGTTTACTCATTGTATGACTTCCTGGACATAAATGTTCATATAAGAGTACTTTCTTTGAATGTGGATCACACCCAAGCATAGTGTGTGTAAATGTTGACCCACTTCTTGGAAGTGCAACTATATAAATTGGTTTCTTTATTTCAATTTTCTTTAATTCTTCTCCTTCAAGAAATCGTTCTAAACAAAACCTTCCATAACATGCAGTTTTAGCAACAGAACTTCTCATCATGACTTTAAATGAGTCTGACTCTGGATCAGTACATCCAGCAAACATTTCATATAATGATTCTTTAAAGAATGGAGCTTCAAGACAATCATTAATTAGCATAAACTTTGTTTTATATAGTTCAGCATGAGAAGGGTCTTGTTGACATAAAAATCCAATTGCCATTTGTTTGACTTTAGCAAAAATACCTTCAAACATTGGTTTTGGAATAAGTTCTCTATAATAAAGTGATTCTTTATTAATTTCATAATGATAAGGAACAGTATTAGGAAAAGACATGAATATTCAAATGATCTTTTCTTTCTTAGATTAAAGTTTAAATATCTGTCATTTTACCCTCGGTTTAGATCTTTCTTTATTTCCATTAAGGTTTTTTTATCATTTGGATAATCAACTCTCTATTTTTATTCTATCATTCCAAAAAAATATAACTCTCTTTATTAATTTTATAGCTTTTATTACTATTTTTTTCTTTCATTTGAAGAAAGTTCATTAATCCATTTTTCTATTTTCTATTATACATAATTCAAAGAATGAATAATTTTTAGAAATATCTATTTCTTCAGAATTTTCTTTATTTTTTATCAAAAAACACATTTATTACAAATAACATAAAACTATAAATAATATTGTGTTATTCATCACTTTCAACAATAAGTATAGATGGAGAATTATTAGAAACAAGCTCAATTCTATCATCTCTAAATCTATTCTTTTTCTTTCTAAAGATGAAGAAAATAACTCCTCCAATAGCTAAAGCAAAAATAATGAAGAATAAAAACTTTAAAATAAAAGTTGATAACAGTGGTAGTTCATCATGTTCTTGAATAAAGGGATTACAATTTACATAAGAATCACTTGACACTAATATTGAATAAATATATTGATATTATAATAAGAATGAAAGAATAATGAAAATAAAAAAAAACAAACGTTTATACATAATCCATTTACCAAAACATTCGATATACAATCTACCAGTTTTTGTAATTTCGTTTGTTGTATTGTCTATAAGATAAAGTTGAGGTAATTTTGTTTCTTGAGTAAATAATGTTTTAGGACTAAACAAAAGATATTGAGGATCACCATTCCATTCGGACATATTTACTATTAAACCTAGTTTACTTTCCCGTTCAAAAACAAAACTTCCTTCAGGACTTATTCTTATACAGCCAATAGTTCCTGCTCTACATTGGATATTACCAAATACTATAGTAGTTGTTAAAGTATCAATATAAGCATTGTAACCTAATTCAATATTACTACCTTTTTCTATTATAACACTTTTACTATTAGAAAAAGAGATGAAATGATTTATTTTCATTTTCATTCCAACAAGAGTAGTTCCTTTGAAGTAAAACTTATCATTTCCAACAACTGTTATAGTTTCTCTATTATTTAATGAACTGAACAAAATAGCTTCTTTCTCAAAAATAATTTTTCCTCCATCTACTGGAATAAGCATATCAAGAGTTATATTTGATGTAACGGTAATTGACTTACCTTTAAGACTGTTAATTGTTATCATTTGGTTTGATTTAATAATACATTCTGTTATACAATTTATACCACCAACTCTAGCATAAGTCAAATCAAGAACAACAGGCTGAGAGTCTTCAATAATCATTTCACAATCAGTACAAGGACAATACTCTTCTCTATACTTAACTTTTGTACTATTAAGAAGTAATTCTCTTTGTCCATTTGAAATCACATGACATTGTTTAAATGCAGTAATTATTGGAGTTCCATCTATTTTCACAGCAACTTTACTGTCTGCAACAAGTTGAAGTAAAGAAGAGTTTATTGATTTAATTTCTGTGTTTGATTCAATAACTTTGAATAAATTAGCTGTGCTTTTATAATAGGTTTTAACATTTAAACTATCAATAATTGTTGAATGAGTAATAAAGAATGTTTCCACTGGTTGATTAACTTCAATAGTAGTGTGATTTAATGTCACCATAAATGATTTAACTCTTCCACCATCTAATATAATTTTTGAATGACTTGAAGAAAACATAGTAACAACTATTGGCTCAGTTATTCTTAATTCACCGTTCAAAAGAAAGATGCTATGAAATGATAGTGAATTAATAATTGTTGCTCTAGACGAAGAAATAAATATGTTATTAATTACTTCAGAAATGATTAAATTTTGGTAAGGATGTAATATTGAAACAATACTTCTTGAAGGAATAATACCAGAAGAAGGGTTGTAAATACTTGATGGTGTTAAGAAAGTAGTATAGTCATATCCTTTATAAGAATCAATTTGAGGAGGATATGGAGAAATAATTGATAATGTTCCACTATTAGTAATTTGAGTAAAATGAATTTTATAAGGAGATAAGATTATGGCATATCCACTAATGTTTATTTCTCCAAAACTTGGAGAAATAAGAATTGCAGTAATTATATCTAATGAACATTGTTGACATCTAACATGTCCAATAAATGACTCAATGGTTAAATGTTGATTTGAATTAAAATGAAATTCAAATGCACTAAATGAATCAACAACCGTCACTGGAACTTCAGAGTAAATAATTAAAAAGGCAATTGACGGTAGGTGATGTAAAGTAACAGGTGAGGGTGATTGTAATGTAATAGTGTAATTAACTAATGGTTGTGGACAAGTAAAATCTTCACTTTGTATATACACATTAGGATTACTTAAGTCAATGTCTTGTAATGGTGATTTAATGATGCATTCATGAGTTAAATAACATGGAATAAGACAAAGAAAAAAAATTGAAATTAGTATCATTTGTTAGAAGAAATAATGATAAAGTTAGTTTAATATTCTTTTATTAACATAAACGATAAATTTATTATAAAAAAATTATAACTTAAATTCTAATTATTTCAATACAATAAATTCTCTTTATTTAGTATTAGAAAGATGTGTTAATGAAAGAAATTTAACTAACTATTTTATAACTTTAAATAATATTGTAACTAAAGAGTATTACAAAGATATTAGTTTAATCCATAAAAAAAAAGAATAATAACACATTAAAACCAACATAATTATGAATAGTCATTAAGTCTATACTTTCTTTGAATTAATAAAATTAAGGGAAGTATATATAAAAATTAAAGAAGTATTTAAGAACTACATACCATAAAGTTTTGATTTATAAATAAGAATCTTCTTATATTTTTTATCAATTTAATTCAAATAATACTTTTTCTTATTCATATCTTTCATGAATTAAAATTTTGTTAACGAGTGATTGGAGGAATATATTCTATAAGATAACACTAAAAGTCTAATTGTAATGAAGTAAATACATAGGAAATATTTTCAGTAGTTTTAAGAATGAATTTTCAATAAATCCATTCACAGAAAAAGTTGGTTCTGTGATTTAACAAAGATTCTAACTTTTTTAAATAGTTTTTTTATATATTAAGTAAATAAAAAGTATTTGTAAGAAGATACTTTTCAATTTGGTTTTTAAATGAAAATTAAATTAAATTAAATTACTTATCAAAAAATAACAAATGAATTATTTATATAACAAACATTCCAATAAGTCAGTTAAAATATAAAACTTCATTAAAAAAAAGACAAGCATTCATTTATTTTATAACTTGATAATGTATTAAAAATTTGACGATGCATTCATAGAAGTTATCATCACTAATACAAAAATAATAAAAAGTACTGGTGCTGTACACATGAGAGTCTCTACAAAAGAGAAAATAATCATAATAGTTCTTTTAGCTCTAACTCTATCACTTCTTGGTTTTCTAAAAATACACATCCAATTTATACATTGTAACACTGGAATAAATATACCTAAGACAAATAATATATTTGAATTCTCAAATTGACGTTTTTCTTTTTCATCATTTGATGAAGAAGATGAGGATGATGACTTCTTCTTTTTCGGTTCTTCTATAGGGACTTGGTACACTGGTTGAGCAGGAGGAGGGTACATTCCTGGTTGTTGAGGAGGAGGATACATTCCTGGTTGAGCAGGAGGGGGGTACATTTCTGGTTGCTGAGGAGGGGGATACATGCCTGATTGTTGAGGAGGAGGATACATTTGGCTATCAGGTATCATTGGAGGATTATAGGTAGATTGTTGTTGATAACTCATAATGTATTGAGAGAATAATAAAAATAAAAAAGATAAAAGAACTTAAATATGCTAATTTTATCTTTAAACTGCTCTTTCAAAAAAATCCCTCTTTGAAAGAAGAATTTTATTGAATAATAAAATTATTATAAAAATCATAATTTCTGTAAAATGCCTCTGTTAAAGAGACATTTGATTTTCTTCTTTTCCATAAGCAAAAATAAAATACAGATTTATAATTAACAAATTAAATAATTCAAATATTCATTAATCTAACTTTTTCATTTATGTTAAAAAAAGGGTTATTTTTTTATGAATTTTTCATTTTTTATGGGTATCTTTTTTCTAAAATTCTTTTTAAAAACTAACAAAGGAATTTACTCAGAACAAAAATCAATTTTAACGGTAATAAAAGAAAAGAAATAGTAAAAATTATATTCATGGATGGAATTTTGAAATACATTACTTTCAGTTTTGATAGGAAAAATTCAAAAAAAAATAAAGTACTTATTAATTCTCTTATATCAGTGTGTTATTTTAAATGAGGCAATGTAGTTTATTCACCTTAGTCTTAACCAAAACTTTATAAAAGTAAATACAATAAAAAATTAAATAAAAAATAAATTATTATATTCATCTTAATTCCTTAAAAATTATTTGATGAATTATTTATAAAATTAATGTTCTTGTTTTATTCAACTTTTGCATTGACTCTTTAGTTAAACCAACATGTTAAATGAACTGAGAAACAATTAGTATATTTCAATAACATGTGTTTGGTATTGTTATTGTTTATTCAATTATTGAAATTTGACGATTATTTAATGTCTTTCTCATTAATGAAACTCATTATTAAAAACAGTACAGTGTTATTTCAACAATAAAAATGGTTTTGAAGTGGTATTAAAGAGTAAGTGTAATTCATTAGTAAATAAAGAAGCTATGAAAGATGAAATTAAAAACAGGTAATGAGAATCATATAAGAAAAAATAAAGATAAAAAGAAAAACATCAACAGAAAATAAATGCTTGGTTATGAAATGAAGGTAAAATAATGCAATGTTGAAATAAACCTATTAATTTCTCAATTAAATTGATTTTATTTAACTGTTTTAATGTTCTATTTTTATATTAATGATATAATTTAATATGATAATTAATGTGTTTATAACACTTATGATGAATTACTTATACAAAGAAACGATTATTAATGAATATATATTCATTAAGAAAAATTATAAATTGATAAAGTATGTTTTTATTGGAGTAAAGTATATTTGTTTCTTGTTTTTAACAAAATTCATTTTCATTTGTTATTTATAATTGTTAAACCAATCTAGATATGCTTGAAAATACCTAAAAATATAAAAAGAAGAAAGACTGAAACAATGGTTGTGAAAGAGTGTGATATTAAGAACAAACAGTTAATTAATAAATTAAGAACAAAATATGAAATAGATAATAAAATATAACAAATCTTATTTTATAAAAGATAATTAAATAATTATTTAATAATGTTTATTTAAAAGAAATAAATCATATAAAAGAAAATTAAGAAGAAGCATAAATATATATTAGAATAAAGAAAAATAAAAGAAATTATAAAAAGAGATAAAGAAATAATATATGTTATTCTGTTTTGATATAGACTATGATTTCATATACACTAGTAAAAACGTTATGATAATATTATAAAGAATTATGAAATTATTAATTGAGAAATAAAATAATGTGATTATTGAAAAAAAACTAAATAACAAAACTATTATATGACTCTATGACAACTTAATTGTTATTATTCCTTAAAGTTTACAAGAAAAGTTCGAATAAAAAGAAAATAAAAATTCTAAGACTAATAATCTCTTCTGTATAATTATTGAAACAAACACTAAACTTCAATTATTGTATAACCTTTATTCATTTTAAAATGTAATTTCAACAATTGAAAGAACAAAATAGAAATAACTGATAATGTTGATAAATTGATGGTTTGACTATGTGAAAATTATGATTACAATTATCACTTACATATTCAACATAACTATATTAATTCAACACTCACAAATATCATTATGAATAATTTTATATCTTCATATGAGAAAACTCTTATTTTAACTTCAGAAACAAAGTATTTTACGGGGATACTCATTTTAATAAAAAGAAATATTATAAATTTTATCTGAATTAAAAAAATAATTACATTATTATTGGTATTGTATGTATTGATAAATTGTATCTGATATTATTTATGTTCACATGGAACAAAGCATACATTATTTGTATCACGTTAATTATGTTATTTTAAATTGATTTAATACCATTTATCATTTTTATTAAGTTGTTATTTTTATTTAATTTGATATTATAATATTATGTTTATTATTTATCATTATTTTATTCTCATTCTCATTCTTTGTATTTGTTATATTCATTATATTTGTTATTTCATATTTATATTTGTTATTTCATATTTTATTGTGAATTTAATTTATTTATTTATGAAATTCATTTTATAATGAATATTTTCATTTAATGTTCGTCTTTGATGTTATTTTTTCATTTTGATTTATAATATTTGAAAATGTTGTGTATTTATTTAATAAGAATTGAAATTTATTTGTATTTTTATATTTCATTTTTATTCTTGTTATTATATTATTTTCTATTATTTGTAGAATTTATGATTGTACATTTCTTAGAATATGATGATTGATTCTTCTTTCATTTCTATATATTTAAATGAAGAATACAATTAACAAATAAATAAGAATGTTGATTCATTTTATTTCATTTATATGAATATTTAAATCATTTATATTTTGATTTGTTGTTTTGATTCAATTAATACATTACTTTATTCTTTATTACTTTACTTATTAAATAATTTTATTATTCATTTTTAATGTTATAATATTTCTCTTCTTTTTAAATTATCATTCATCACTTTTTCATAAACAAAAAATAAATAAGAATGACAAATATCCATACATCAATCAATTAAAATTAAATAAAT